TCTGAGTCAGTCTGTCTCAGTCTCCACATCTCTCTTGGCTTCAGCCCCTCTCACCTGTCCTTCTCCATCAAGTAACAGCCTGCGCGCCAGCCACCCTGACTTCCTGGCTCCTTAGTCCTGGCCTGGTGGCCCAAGCTCATTCTGTTTGGGGGTAGGGGTGGGAATAGGAACTCCGACACCTTCCTTTCTCTTCCCAAGCCTCAAATCCTCAGCTGCGTGCTAGACCGCCTTTTTGGGGCAGGATGAACCAGAGGAGGCGCATGGGGAGAAACAAGGGGGTCGAGGTAAAAAAAAAAAAAAAAAGTAGAAAAGAGGAACAAAGGGTCGGGACGAATTAGGGGAGAGGGGGGAGACTCCCCAGGGCGCAGGGTCGCCGAAGCCACGGGGAGATGCAAGGAGGGAGGGGCGCACCCTGCCCGGCCTAGCCGAGCTCCCTGCCCCCTTCCCGGGCTTCCGGTCCCTCCTCCCAGCTTCTTGTCCTTCCTCTTTCGTTGTGAGATTTCTCCCCGGGGCCTCTTCTTGCTAATTCATGTGACCCCTCCGCTGTCAACCTGTCTCTGCTTCTGTGCGTGTCATTTCTTCTCTCTGGGTCTCGGCGACTCTCCGTGGGTCTCCCCCTCTCTCGCGGGCGCCCCGCTCTCCAGCGCGCCCTCCCAGCCAGGCCCTCCCGGGGGGCGGAGGTCCGGGCGCCCCGCCCCTGGGCCGCTCTATTGGCGGAAAGGCGTCGAGAAGGCGGAGTGGAGCCAACCTTCCACGGCGGGATTAGTGGCGGCGATCGGGAGGCGGGTGGGAGGTGGGTCCGGCCGGGAGGCGGGCGGGGCGGCTGGGGCCCGGCCCAGAGCCCCGGGCGGTCGCATTGTTTTCCTCCGCCGAGCCGCGGCGGGGGTAGGGGCTGCGACTGGGACCCCGGGCTCGCCCGACCCCTCCGCGCCGGGAGCCCAGATCCAAGCTCCATCCGATTCCGACGCTCCTCGCAGCTTGCCGGAACCCCCAACCACGGAGTGCGAACTCGGAGCGGCGCGGGGCCCCCTGCCTGCCCGCTGCGATCTCGATTCGCTGACCCGGATCTCGGAGCAAGTACCCCGGGGTAGGGATGGGGCTGCAGGGAGACGGGGAGGGACGGGCGCCGCTGCGGCCCGGGAGGGACCCTCCGAAGTGCGAGAGGGACCGGTAAGGGTGTCTGCGCTCTGTGCGCCTGGCTGGCCGAGAGGGTCGGCGGAGTTGGGGTCCCTGGAGGGTGAAAGGGGCCGTGGCCGAGCCCCGGCGCGGCACTATTGGCACAGGGCGCCCGGTCGGGCTGGGCTCGCTCTGGATTGCGTCTCAATCCCGGAGCGCGAAAGGCGATTCTTTGAGGCGCGCACAGTACGGAGGGTGGAAAACCTCGCCCCTTCCCTCTCCGGCGGGGAAACTGAGGCTACGAGACCGGCCGAGAGCCGGGCCCTCTCGACGCCCCTGCAGGAATGGGAGGGGGGACGCCTCGTTCCAGATCCTGCTGTCACGGCAGCTCGGCTGTCCTTGTGCAAGCCGGAATCTGAGAATCCCCGGGGGGTCGGTTTTGGCACAGAGTCGGGGAGTGGGGTCCCCAAGAAACATCGGTCCCAGCGCCCATCTCCTTCCCTCACCCCTCTCGGCCCGGGGCTTTGTCAGACTGAGGTCTCCCAAGGAGGAGACCCGAGCTGGCGACCGCATCGCGAGCCGCGGACCCCGCTCGCCGCTGGCCCCGGGCCCGCCCCCGTCGGTTCCCGGCCTCTGGCCCTGTTTCCCTGGCCTCCGAGACCCGCCTCCGCTCCCACCCCTGCTCGCATCCCCACTCCGTCTGCGCCTGCAGGCCCCTTCCGCCCCTCCTCCCGCTAACGTGGCTCTGGGACCCGGTCCCGGCCCAGACTGCTACCCGCCCCTCGTCGGAGCCTCGGATCCAGGCAAGGGGAGACGCGTCGAGCCCCTGGCCCCCGGCCCACCTCATGCGAGGCTCTAGACACCTGGATTGTCCTCGTCGGGGGCTTGGGTGGGAGGGAGGGTGGGTGCCCCGGCTCTGGGGCTGAGAGCTGGGGGTGGGGGATATGTGTTGGAGAAGGGAACACGTTGAGGCCCCTCGGTACGCCCCCCCGCCTCCCAGGAAGGTGGACTGGCGGGCGGGCGACCAGCCCGAGGGCTTCCTGCTATTGTCCCCAGCCCCGACTCCTTCTCCATCCCTTCCCCAGCCCCTGGCCGACTCTGGCGATGACCCCGGCCACTCCCAAGAGGTGGCTGTGGGGGCCAGGAGCAGAGAGGAGGGCTGTTTCCTCTTCCCAGCTAGGGGAGAACCTAGGAGGGGGAGAAAGAGATGGCCAGGTCGCCCTCGTTTGCTTCCCATCGGGGGTATGAAGCAGCTGAGATTGGTCCCAAGGCAAAGTGAGCCTTTCTCCAGACCAGGGGTGGGTGGGGGCACCCAGATGCTGCTCCCCAAGAACAGCTACGCTAAGCCCTGTTCGGGATGTGTCATAGTTGAGTCTGGGGGCCAATGCAAAGGCCAACCAAGGGTTTTTCGAGGCCGCACTAATCCAGCCTGCGGTGGGGGTGGAGGAAGACTGGTTGCGAGGGAAGAAGGAAGGGGCTGTGGGTGCTATCAGACCGTTTTGCCTGGAAATGAAGAGCATGTAAATGAGATGCAAATTAGCCTCTATTGTCCCCAGCTAGGGCGCTTTAAGGAGTTCTCGTGGCGCAGTGGTTAAGCGCTCGGCTGCTAACTGAAAGGTCTGCGGTTCAAACCCATCAGCCGCTCAGTGGGAGAAAAATGCAGCAATCTGCTTTCGTAAAGATTTACAGCTTCGAAACCATATGGGGCAGTTCTTCTCTGTCCTATAGGTCGCGATGAGTCGGAATCGACTCCACAGCAACGGGTTTAGATTTTTTTTTTTTTTTTTGCTAAGAAGGCTGCTGGATTCTGAAGGTTTTGATGTGGGAGTGGTCATTGTGTCCCCACAAACTCTCCCAGTCACCCCTTTCCCCAAGGCTGGTCCTGCAGCTCCAGGATTTTCTGGCCAGGGACCATCCCTGGGCATGGATCGGCCCTGTAAGACCAGCACCTTGTAACCAAACTCAGTGTCAATGGCCCCAACTTCCAGGGAAGCACGTCCCCCACCCTAGCCTTAGCAGACTTCTCCTAAATGTTCACATTGACTTTCAAAGGAAGTCGCCAGGGAGGTGTAACTGTCTCTTCTCTCCTGTCCCCTCTTCCATCAGGTCAGAGGTCTCCTATCCCCCTCAGACCCCCACAGGAGTCACCACCCCAGGTAAAGAAAGGAAGCAGTTCCTAGGGGCAGGGGATGGAAGCAGACGTGGCTAGGGCCATGGCCATGGGGCAGGAAGAGGGTCTGGCTGCTCTCCCCATTTGCCAGAGAACAAAGTTGTTTCCAAGGGGAAGATAGCAGTTGCCCAGGGCAACTTGGGGGGGGGGGCTGGAAGGGGGAGGCGAGGAGACAAGCTGTGTCCCTTTCTCTTCTCTTGGGAGAACTAGCATCCGGAAACAGTTGGGGCGAACGGGAGGGAGGCTTGTCCTCTCAACACCAGAGGGTCGTTAGCTGGCTGGCTGCTAGCCCCTGGGGAGGGGTCATCATTAGGTGTTCCTACCCCTTCCCCTCCTCCAGCTCTCTCGGGGCCCCACCTGACGTCAGCCTCCCCACCAGTGACGCTGGATTGGGGTGGGTACTTGGGTTCTAGCTCCAGGTGTGGAATTGTTGGGGAAATGGAAGAGGGCTGGGTGTGGAACCCGGGGTCTCTCCTTTAGGAGACACGGTGGGGTGGGTAGTAGGATTGGTGTCGGGTAGCTGTTCAGGGAAAGAAATGATTCTCACCCTTCCTGACCTGATTTCCATAGCCTACTCAGTCCCCCACTTCAATTCCAGGGGATGGCAGGAAGCTGGTGGACATCCTGTCGTGGGTCTCAGCCAGGGTCAGCTGGCTGTGGGAAGCCGATGGGTAGAAGGCTTGTCTCACTGTCCCTTCCACTGTATCTGTCCTTTCCTGGACTTTGGGCTACAACTGCCTGCCTGTCATTGAATTATTTATATTTCAATTGCAGAGGCAGCCCGAGGAGGGAAGGAAGGGAGAGAGGGGTATGCTCAGCCACTTCTCCTACCAGTAGAGCCCCTGCTATTCCTGGCTCTGCTCTCCCCACCCGCCAAGTCCATGCATTGCTTCTTAGGAGCCAGGGAGCGAGCAGGGGGCTACAGAGGCTGGGAGGGGGCACAGTGGTCTGGGAGACAGCTGCAGCCAGAGCTAAATTTAGCCTCTGGTCTGGCTTTGATGCAGATCCATTTTTGGCTAAGACAGCACCCCCCTCCCCAGCTTCTCCCCAGCAGTGGGAAGGGCCCCTCAAGCAGAAGCTTAGACCAGGGCAGTGACCCCCAGCCGGCCGCCCTCGCCTCTACTCTGTGTTTCCTCAGCCTTGGAGAGAAGTATGGCTGCCTCACAGCTGCCTCTGCCTGGGCACCGTGCCTCCATTGCTCCCAGGGTGCCGTGGGGGTCTGCCGGGGGGTGGGGCAGGCAGACAGGGTGCCCTCTTCCTCCTCCCAGTGCCAAGGAGTCACTATTTATAATTTTGAGGCTTCAGGATCTAATTATAGCGGAGAAGGGGTTAGCAAGAGGGGGCCCAGGAGGTGTCACCTACCGAATGTCCCAGACCCAGCCAGGAGAGAGGAGGAAAGGCTGAGTGAGAAAGCTGGGCGGGGCGGGTGTCTCCTGTCCTTACCTGGGGTCATCACCAGCCAGTTTGGGCCAGTTGGAGCGGGAAGGGCCTTGAGTGATGGTGACAGCCGGCTGGGACTGAGGCAGTGCCAGAGAGAGGGCTCCCCCCCACCCCACAGGGTCTTCTGGGGATAGACCCGGGAAGGAGCCCTGTCCACGTAGGCAGGGGTGAGGGGCGCCTGGCTCCTCTCTCATGTACTTCTCTCTGTCCCCCCTTTCAGGGCCGGCATATGGGTGAGGGGCCACCCCCTGGGGCCTGAGCTGCCCCACACAGGATGCCCCGTGCCCCCTCCTTCATGCCCTTGCTGCTGCTGCTGCTGCTCTCGCTGCCCCAGCCCCAGGCTGCCTTCCCCCAAGACCCACTCCCTCTGCTGATCTCTGACCTGCAAGGTGAGTGCCCTGGAGGCCTGCCCTTGTGAGCCCCTCACTCAGTCAGCAGAGAACTGAGAGCTCCCGTGTGGAAAGCGAGGTGCAGGAAGGCTCCCAGCCTCAAAGCAGCTCAGGGCCTGACCAACCAAGGGGAACCGCAGGTCGGGGGAGCTGGCGCCTCAGGCCATTGCGGCTCGCTCATCCCTGGGCCTGGTTTCTTCACTTAAGAGAGTTTCATTCCGTGGCTTGGTTGAGAACATGCCTCTCAGCCAGACCCAAGCTAGCAGGTTTGAATCTCTGCAAAGCGTCTCACTAGCTGTGTGACCTTGGCCAACTTCTCTCTCTTTGCCTCAGTCTCCTCATCTGCAAGATGGGGGTAATAATAGGATTATAGCTCATAGAGTTATTTAGGGATTAAATGAGGTAAAGTATGTAAAGTGCTGAGAACACTGTCTGACACAAAGGAAATGCTTTCTAAGTATTTGCTATGATTATTATTAGCCCCAAGATGAAAGCCTGGGACTGGTTCAGGGGTTCCCAGCACCTCTTTACCTCCCTATCTGCCTCTTGGACCACCAGCAAGCCTAGGTCCCACCATGATAAAAATCATAAACTCACTTTTCCTGACTGGAATGTTCATCTATTTATAGAACCCTGTTATATATATAAGGAGCCCTGGTGGCGCAGTGGGTAAAGCGATCAGCTGCTAACCGAAAGGTTGGTGGTTAGAGACCACCATCGGCTCCGCGGGAGAAAGATGTGGCCGTCGGCTTCCATAGGGATGACAGCCTTGGCAACCCTATGGGGTCACTATGAGTCGGAATCGACTCGACGGCAGTGGGTTTGGTTTATTATTATTTTTTTTTTTGGTTATATATGTAGGATTTAGAGTAAGGTCAAGGATGGAGGGACTGCAGTTGGGTTATTAGGAGTAATTGTTAGGGGATAGTTAAGAATAGCAAACATTTATACGTGTCAGATGCAGTTCTGAGCGTTTTATGAATGTTAAATCATCTGTCCTGAACTCAGCTCCCTTTGAGCTCTGAGAACAGTGGTTTCTGTAACCAGGCCAGGTGGACGCAGGAGTTGGTCAGAGGAGGCCGAAGTCTTGGAAGGCTGCGCGGCCTGTGAAGGGCCCTGAGGGGAGGGTGCAGAGAGGGTGGGGAGAAATGGGGGAGCAGATGTTGCAAGATGAGATGGCGCTCCATGTGGAGAGAAGAGGAATCCCTGGCCCAGGAAGGGATTGGCGGAAGTCTGGAATCCCAGAGACAAGCATCTGAATCCTGGTGCCCGCCAGTTCCAAGGAGCCCTGGTGGGACAGTGGTTATGGACTCGGCCATTAACAGAAGTCGGCGGTTTGAACATACCAGCAGCTCTGCAGGACAAAGATGATGTGGCAGTCAGCTTCCTACAGATTACAGCCTGGGAAACCCTATGGGGCAGTTCTACTCCCTCCTACAGGGTCACTGTGAGTTGGAGTTGACTCGACCGCAGTGGGGTTTTGATTTTTGCCACCCTCAAGCTAAATGAATTTATGTAAGTTCTGTAATGGCTTTGAGTCTCAGGCTGCTCGTGTAAAATGAGGCCCATGTTAGTGCCTACATCCCAGGGTTGTACTAAACGAAATAAGGTACCAAAAGGAGGAGCCCTGGTGGTGGAGTGGTTAAAGCGCTCAGCTGCTAACTGCAAGGTCGGTGGTTTGAACCCACTAGCTGCTCCACGGGAGAAGGATGTCTGCTTCCATCAAGGTGACAGCCCTGGAGACCTTACAGGGCCGAAGTGCCACCGCAGCGCCCGGCAGAGATCCAGTGCTGAATGTTAGCTGGTGTTATTTTCATTAACAGCCTTAGGGCACCTCACATATCGGCCATGTCCACAGCTGGGTGTCTCTCCTACTTTTGTGTGCTTGGAAAGGGTGTTTGGGGAATGGGTGGTGTCCTGGCTGGCCCTCGGCAGCCCATCTCTCCATGCCCTCTAGGTGCCTCCCCATCGTCCTGGTTCCGGGGGCTGGAGGACGATGCCGTGGCCGCACAACTCGGGCTGGATTTTCAGAGATTTCTGACCTTGAACCGGACCTTGCTGGTGGCCGCCCGGTAAACTGGCCGAGGCACAGTTGTGGGGAAGACATGCAGGTAGACATGGGACCTGCGCGGCCACCGCGGCACCTTGCAGGGCACACATGCACGTGCTGTGGGACATGGATGTGCCTGGACGCAGGGCACACGGGCCAAGGTGTAGCGTGAGGGGAGGGGAAAGGGCAGGAGGTCTGCGCTGTTTGTCTCCGAGCAGCCCGACACGGGGAAGGGGGGACCTCAGGAGCCTGGGTGGGTGCCCCGGCCTGGCTCTGACCTCCCCCCCACCCCCCACTCCTTCAGGGATCACGTTTTCTCCTTCGATCTGCAAGCCCAAGAAGAAGGGAAGGGGCTGGTACCCAACAAGGTGAGGGGCTGGGGGACAAGGGCCAGGCTTGGAGAAGAGGCTGGGCGGGGGTTCACGGGGGTTAAGTGGGTAGGAGCCACGGTATGAGTGGGGCCCAGGCTGCCCTGTGATTTTCCCTCCTCTTCGTTCTCTTCAGTATCTAACATGGAGAAGCCAGGATGTGGAGAACTGTGCTGTGAGGGGGAGGCTGACGGTGAGCAGTGCGTGAGCATTTCCAGGGAAGGAAAGGACCACCCTGCCTCCAGGCTCTGTCCCTGCGGGCCTCCACCAAACCCTGTGTCCTACCCACCGCCCATCCCAGGCCTCAGAGGAAATGGGAGGAAGAGGGCATTCGGGATTTTTAGCTTCCTTTGTACTCGCCTCACAAAGAGCCCCCAGGAAGTAGCTGTTATTACCATCAGATGAGGAAATCGAGGCTCAGAGAGGCCACAGAGCTAGTGAATGACTTAGTCGGGACTTGACCTCACGTTGCTCTGACAGCTCAAGGGCAGGAACCTTACTCCCTGTGGCCCCTGGTCCCAGCCCCAGGGACTCTTGTGGCTGACCTGGAATTCTGGGTTCTCTAGGACGAGTGTTACAACTACATCCGTGTTCTCATTCCCTGGGACTCCCAGACTCTCCTTGCCTGTGGAACAAACTCGTTCAGTCCCGTGTGCCGCAGCTATGGGGTACAAGGGCGAGGTGGGAGGGTCACTGTGGGAAGGGCAGTTTGGTGGGAAGGGACCAGTATCTGGGTGGGGGAATGGGAGTGCCCAGAGGTTGCAGGGAAGGAGGAAAGGGGACATGAGGAAGTAGGTTCTAGGAAGCTGTTCCCTTGCCCCCAGGTAACTTCACTGCAGCAGGAGGGTGAGGAGCTGAGCGGGCAGGCTCGATGCCCCTTTGACGCCACCCAGTCCAACGTGGCCGTGTTTGCAGGTGTGGACCTGGGCGCGTGTGAGGCGGGCACGTGGCCGGAGGGAGCGCCCACCTTAGCCCCCCCTCCCAACCTGGTCTCTCCCCCAAGCCCCTGCGTGGAGGTAGGGGCCAGGGCCAGGTCTAGGTAGGGCGTGGGAGGGCCAGAAAGAACCCGGAGACAGATCCCTGAGCCTTCCCCGATTCCACCCTCCCCACCCCTCCAGAGGGCAGTCTGTACTCAGCCACAGCTGCGGATTTCCAGGCCAGTGACACAGTGGTTTACAGGAGCCTTGGGCCTCAGCCCCCACTCCGGTCCGCCAAGTACGACTCCAAGTGGCTCCGAGGTCAGGGCGGGCCTTGGGGAGGGAGGAGGTGCAGGGTGAGGACTATGGCAGGGAGCAGGCAGATGGCGGCCGTGGTGGTGTGTATGCGTGGGAAGCGGAGAGGCTGTGCGGCGCCAAGAGTTTCTGAGAAGGGCTAGAGACTCTTCCATACCCCGTCCTGTCATTTCCTCAGAGCCACACTTCGTCCATGCCTTGGAGCACAGAGACCATGTCTACTTCTTCTTCCGAGAGGTCTCTGTGGAGGATGCCCGGCTAGGGAGGGTAAGGAGGTGGGCACCGGGGGTGGGTGGCTGGAAGTTCTGCTGGATTCTGAGGAGCCAGTCTGAGTCAGGGGAGAGCTCCTGACCCTAATCTCCACATCACAATCCCCTGGACACTGAGCCCCCAGCTTGGAAGGGCACCCAGCCTTCTGCCTCTGCATCCTGCTGTTCCTTATCCTTGACCCAGACTGGCCCTCCACCCCATACCCTTCCTTTGCTGCAAAACCCAACATTTGTCTCTTGGTGTTCTTAACTGGACCACATTCCTTTCACCCAGCTGGCCCTGTGACTCTCTCACTGTAGCCTTCTTCCCCCATCTCTCCTCCCCCAGGTGCAGTTCTCCCGTGTGGCCCGTGTCTGTAAGCGTGACATGGGCGGCTCGCCTCGGGCCTTGGACCGCCACTGGACTTCCTTCCTGAAGCTGCGGCTCAACTGCTCTGTCCCTGGGGACTCCACCTTCTATTTTGATGTCCTCCAGGCCTTGACTGGGCCTGTAAACCTGCACGGCCGCTCTGCTTTCTTTGGGGTCTTCACCACCCAGACCAATAGGTTGGTACTATGCTGACCAGTGTGGTCCACTTGCCCCTGCCCCGCTACTGTCCAAGCGTCCCCTCAAAGACCACCCATGCGGGCAGCGAGGGGACGCTCTGTTCAAAGTCAGTTTGCCTTCCGACCCACCTCTCTTCTCCTAGCTGGCTCCCCGTGGCTGCCCCACCCCGTCTCCACCTCCCAACATGGTGCGTGAAGGGCAGCCCCCACTTCTCAGCCGCGAGGAGCTGTACTGTCTCTTCCAGCACCTAGCCGCGCCCTCTTCTGGCCCCTCTAGCATCCCTGGCTCTGCTGTCTGCGCCTTCTACCTGGAGGACATTGAGCGTGGGTTTGAGGGCAAGTTCAAGGAGCAGAGAAGTCTGGACGGGGCCTGGACCCCTGTGTCTGAGGATAGGGTCCCCTCACCCAGGTACCTAGGATGGGATGGGTTTTGTTGGGGCAGAAACAAGCAGAGTCTGTTTCAAAGATGGGATTGTGAGGAGGGGGAGGGGGCTGTAGTGAGTTAACATCAGGAGAGACGGCATCGCCTGAGGTCAGGCCCAAACCCAGGTCCCCAGAAGACGTGGGCAGGAGACTGGGGGGCTGTAACAGGCAAGGGCAGTGGTGTGAGTGTGTGTGGGGACAAGAGTTACAATCATGTTTGGGAGTGGGGAGGGAGGGGGCACAGAGCCTACCTGAGCCTGGACCCCCTGCCCTAAGGCTGCCCGTTCCCACGTGCCCACCAGGCCAGGGTCCTGCGCAGGAGTAGGTGGAGCAGCCTCATTCTCGTCTTCTCGAGACCTCCCTGATGACGTCCTGACCTTCATCAAGGCTCACCCGTTGCTGGACCCCGCAGTGCCACCAGCCACGCATCAGCCGCTACTCACCCTCACCAGCAGGTACGGGGCGAAAACACCGACCGCTGCCCTCTACCCCTGAGTCCTGCTCCTCCTTCTCTGATCCCACAAGGTAAATGGCATCGACAGAGGGAAGAACCTGTGAAAGTAAACGGCGGGGACTAAGAAGGAAACACTGGGGTGTCGGGAAAGGGCCTGGAGTGGGTGCCAAGACACCTGCACTTTCCTTGAGACACTCAAGCTCCCCCATAATCCTCCGTTTTCCCTGACCCGAGGACTTTCCCTGCAGGGCCCTACTGACCCAGGTGGCTGTGGATGGAATGGCGGGTCCCCACAGTAATACCACAGTCCTGTTCCTTGGCTCCAACGATGGGACAGTGCTGAAGGTGCTGCCCCCAGGGGGGCGGCCTGGGGGATCTGAGCCCATCCTGTTGGAAGAGATTGATGCCTACAGTCCCTCCCGGTGAGGTTTTGGGAAGGCAGGGCCCCCACAGAGTAGGGGTGGGAGATGGCTGATGGGGTGGTGGCTACGGGTTGGGAACGCCAACACTGGCTTCTGTGGGGCAGGAGCTGTGGAACAGAGAAGGGGGCTTGGCAAAAAACTGGACATTGTGGTGGGGCAGGGTGGCCACTCAGGAACTCCAGCCCCAGGGGTTGTGCTCAGCTGCATGTGCAGCTCCCCATCCTCTGCTCAATGCACCCAGGGAAAAGGGAACCCTCCCCTGCCCCATCTCTGATTCCTTCTGGCCTCACCCCAGATGCAGTGGGAGGCAGTCAGCCCAAACGGCACGGCGGGTCATGGCGCTCGAGCTGGACACTGAGGGTCACAGGCTTTTTGTGGCTTTTTCTGGCTGCGTTGTCTACCTCCCTCTCAGCCGCTGCACCCGGCATGGGGCCTGTCGAAGGTGAGAGGGGCCTGAGGCCAGGCCCTTCCTGGGCAAGCTCCCTGGGCCTCTCAGGAACACAGGCCTTGGGGGAGGCAGGGGAAGGTAGGTGATTTGAGGGGTGGGCAGGGGGGGTTTCCATGCCTCAAGCATTTTGAAGGTGGGCAGCAGCCAGGGCATGGACTAGGGATTGGGGTGGATGGGATGGGAATATGGGGCTAGCTGCCTCCCGCAGGTCCGGGTGAGAGCGGGAGAGGCAGGGAATGGAAGGATTAGAGTGGTGAGGGTCCCAGCCTCACATGCCGATTTTCCCTAGGAGCTGTCTGGCTTCTCAGGACCCATACTGTGGATGGCACAGCTCCCGAGGCTGTGTGGATATCAGGGGACCTGGTGGGTAAGTGAGGGACCCCTGGATCTCCTGAGGAGAAAGGTCCCCGTCACTAAGAGAGGAAGCTGAGGGCCAGGGTGGGGGCATGGGGGCATGGGGGCACAATGTAGAACTGCACTGAGCCACCTCCTGTTCCTCCTAGGACTGATGTGGATCGGGTTGGGGACTGGGAAGCCGTGGATGATGGTGACTGCCAAGGTAAACAGAAGGGGTGGCTGCAGACGTAGCCGCACATGGCTCTGTGGGCCACAGACACCATCCCAGGCGTGAACTCTTGTCTTTCTCTCCTGCGGCACAGTCATCCCCATCAGTTCTTCATGGAGCTTCCCCCCACCCGTATCTTCACCCTCTCTCCCTTCTTCATAGATGGAGCTACTGGGAGTCAGTCTGGCCCAGGGGATTCTGCTTACGGTAAGTCCTCTTGTCCCAACTTCCCCTTCCTTTGCTCGGCTCCCACTCACCCAAGTCTGTGCCCCATGTGGCAGCAGGCCAGCACCCTCGACACCCTGAGTCTCAGAAGAGGGTCAGCATCCTCCAAACGTGCCTGGCACATAAGAGGGTGCTCAATAAATAGCTTTTGAACAAATAAGTGAATGACTCTCCTGCATGGTGAGCCCTTCCCCACATACCCACGAGAGACCCCTGGGCTCAAGGGAGGGGGAGGGGCGGAACTTCTGGCTGGGTCAGGGGTCGACAGCAAGAGCCTCACTGGCTCTGACCTGGTCTCTGTCACCAGTGCTTCTGGGTCCTGGCCCTTCCCCTGAGATCCCCAGCCCCCCCAGTGAAGCCCACCCCCGGCCCCAGTCTTCCACTCTTGGAGCTCACACTCAGGGTAAGGGGGCCGGCTGGGAGGGACAGGAGTGAAGTGTGGGGCTGCCGATTCCTGGAGAATTCTAAGCCCCTCACTGAGTGGTGTTTGGTGCTCACTAACGCCTCTTTGGAGCCCGCCCTCCAGATAGATCTAGGCATCCCACTTCCTGCTCGGCAAAGTTTGGCACTTGCTCTTGGATGGCTACAGGGACCAAAGCTGGGACGGGACACCCCAGGCCCAAGCTCTGGCCTGTGTGTGAGGCGGAGTGTGATGCGCTGTGTGTGTTGGGGGGTCGGAGGCAGGGAGTGACTCCTGAGGCAGGTCGAGGCTGTATGGGGTGACGTGGAGCCACAGAAGGAACCAGGAGGTTAGATTTCTTCGGAACCTTCCACCGCGCGCTCTAGGCCCAGCACCGTCCGGCGCACCGCCCAGCCTCCGCTGAGCCTCCCTCCTCCTCTCGGTCGGCAGGCGTGCGCCGGGACCTCCCCCCAGCCTCGGCCTCCCGTTCCGTCCCCATCCCACTCCTCCTGGCCAGCGTGGCCGCAGCCTTCGCCCTGGGCGCCTCGGTCTCTGCCCTGCTGGTCTCCTGCGCCTGTCGCCGCGCCCACCGACGTCGCAGCAAGGACATCGAGACCCCGGGGCTCCCGCGCCCGCTCTCCCTCCGCAGTCTCGCCCGACTCCACGGGGGCGGCGCAGACCCCCCGCCGCCGTCCAAGGACGGAGACGTGGCCCAGACGCCCCAGCTCTACACCACTTTCCTGCCTCCCTCCGAGGGCGCGTCCCCGCCGGAGCTGGCCTGCCTGCCCACCCCGGAGTCCACGCCCGAGCTGCCGGTCAAGCACCTCCGCGCCGCCGGGGGGCCCTGGGAGTGGAACCAGAACCGGAACAACGCCAAGGAGGGCCCGGGCCGCGCGCGGGGCGGGAATGCGGCGGGC